ATATGTTTCACTGACGAATGCACGTTTACCTTAAATAATGAACCCAATGTTCAAAATTATCGATATTGGAGCAAAGAAAACCAGCACAGGTTTGTCGAAACAAGGACGCAATATCCACAGAAAGTAAATGTTTGGGCAGAGATATTCGGACACAATATTATTGGGCCATTATTTCTTACGCGAAATTTAAATGCAGAATATTATTTGGAACTACTCGAAAATCATATTTTACCTGCTTTACATGATGCCGCTAGGGAAAATCAGGAAGTTTGGTACCAAATGGATGGCTGCCCGGCACATAGTACCCTGGCTGTTCGGGAATATTTTATTTAGACAATAGCTTTAACGGAAACGTTATTGGCCTAAATCATACAGTAAATTGGCCAGCAAGGTCTCCTGATATTTCGCCAAATGATTTCTTTCTCTGGAGCCATTTAAAAAACAGGATATACAAGGATAAAAAATACCCAAATCTAGACGAGTTAAAAAATGCTATTTCTGCCGAATGCAATAGAATTTCAGTTTACCAACTAGCGAATGTAAGAAGAGAATTTTATGATCGCCTGGGTTATTGTCTATCAGTCGATGGACGAATATTTGAACATCTTCTTAAATCCTAAAGTTTTAACAATTTAATAGTACCTAAATTAATCACTTATTGAATATTGTAATAATACTATAATTAACCTTGTAATTGATTACTTTATTTAACTTCAATTCATATTAATTTGTATTTATAAATACATCTTTAAGATTTCCGATGTAGGAATGAGTTTTCAATAATAATAAAGCACTAAATAGGTAAATTTCTAAAAGGACAACTTCATTTGACAGTTATATTTTACCTTGACTGGTGCTCATAAGTAAATACAGCGCCATAAGAAAGGAGAAATATTTAAAAAGAAATCGGCGATAACTCGAGCACTCGTAAACGAGCTAATCAAAAATATCTAAAGTTATTCTTTTGAATGTGGGTTTTAGTGCTCTTCAATAAACCTAAATAGAATTATATATGTTATTCCTATGTCCCGTCCGACGATGCAACACCCGGTATATTGGCGATATATTCAACGAAGTCTTCAGGAATAGAATTCAATATTTAATATAAAAAAAAAATAAATAATTTTTCTCCAAGCTGTAACACACATCTTATAGTAAACATTTAGTTCATAAAATTTTATTATATACAATTAATCAAGTATTTTTAATTATAAATAATAGGTAAATAGCCTTTTTACATTTTGGATTGTATAAGTTAAAACAGACAATTAAATATAATTATCAGTATTACAAACCACGCAAAACCTTTTGGAAATTCAGGTTACAAAATCTCAATTTCTATTTTTTATGTGTATTAAAATTACAATAAGTAATAAAGTATTCAACTAGAAAATTTTAAAATACAAAGTATTGTAATTAATAAATTAAGTGAAGTTAATTTGAATGAAAATAATGTATATAATATTGGAGGAAAAAGTAATACCACGTCAACAAATAAACACGAACTGGGGGACAATTTTTGTAATTGATCGTTTACATGCGAACGCGCAACTTTGAGAGTGTTAGAAAACGAATGCGTTTTAAAAATTCAATTTTTCAGCCATCTTCGCATCTTAATTTGCGATCGTCGTGAGTGTACGCAAAATTACGAGCCGGAGCTGTGGCAACGTCGACAAATCACAGTGAAAAACTAAATTCTCTCCAGTTTAACTGTATTTTTACTGTTTGTTTACTTTTCATTACTTGGTGTCGATAATCGATGTTTGTTGTGTTGTTGGTCAAGTGGGTTAATAATGAAAAAAAGCAGCTAAAATCTGAAATTTAATGTTACTTCATAGATATACAATAATAGAGAAAAATGTTACCCGGCTTTGCACATCGAAATCAGTCTCTCTTCTTTGTGGTCGCATATACGGCTCAAGTAACTGAATTAAAAAACGGCAGAAGTCTTTGGATAACCGAAATATTTTAATAAATTCCCCAGTTCCCAGCAGTTCGGCATTATCTAGGTTTCGAATGGCCAAAACGTTCATTAAGTCATCCATTACTATTATTGTTACACCTAAACCCAACTACAGACTTGGAAACATTATCAAATCTAATATGCGCACTTAAACAAATAATAACCAAAACGTAACATATCCTTACGATGCTGTCGATCCGCTCACAAGATAACGCAGGGAAATTTGCTAATACGCAAAAATGCGAAGACTTAAAAATTGGATTTTAGTGTTGATCGAAAAGTTGCGAACAATTTGCATGGAAACGATTGGCCAAAAATTGCCCCCCTGTACCTGTGGGATTTATCCTCAATGCCCAACCATACAATAATACACTTGCGTGAATAGAAATCGGCCCAAGGCAAACTTTTGAAGTTAACTATATATTTTTTAGAATATATTTGTCAGATTAAGAAAAAATACATGCTGTTTGAAAGACAATTTCATATTCTTTGAAAAGAGTTTAGAGATAATAATTTGTATTTTGGTTTCTTTGGATTAAAATTATTAAATTAATGCATGAAACAAACTATCGTTTTTTATCACTAAGAGGTATGTTATTATTTATTTATTTATTTATAGACAATTAACTAAACTAAATTTTCAATAATGGGTATGACCCCCTCTTGCTCTAATAACATCTCTCATACGATTTGGTATAGATTCGATCAAATTTAATATTGTTTCTTGCGGGATGTTAAGCGCTGGGATAGAAGTTGGGGCCCTTCGTCTAGTACGAATTCTTCGTTTTAGCTCATCCCATAAATGTTCTATCGGATTTAAGTCTGGACTGCCTGCTGGCCATTCCATAACCCGAAATCCGACTTCTGAATGTAATCGTGTACGATTCTTGATATGTGTGCCCTCGCATTGTCATGCATAAAAGTGAATTCGTTTCCAATGTAGTCGACGTAAGGTACCACATGAACTGCTAAAAACTCCTCAATATACCTAGCACCAGTTAAACCTCCTCTCCCGTACCGACGGTCGCCCCAACGGATGAAAACTGGGTCGGTTCGCGCAGTCATAGAAATTGCATCCCAGATCATGCAGGAACCACCTCCATAAGCAATCCCCTCCTCAATGCAGCATTCTGCAAATCGCTCACCTGGCCTCCAGTACACTTTTCTTCTTCGGTCGCTACCATAGAGGCATATCCTGGTCTCATCTGAGAATAAAACAGATTCCCATTGTTTTAGTGTCCAATTCAGATGTTCCAGTGCAAAACGCAAGCGTGCTTGACGATGAGCTGGGGTAAGTTTTGGACCAATTGCGGGAGTTTTGGGGGTCATGTTACTTTCCTTCAATCTTCGTCTTACTATCCACTGACTAATAGTCACTCCTCGTGTTTCACGGAGCTGTTGTTGCACCTGAATAGCATTAAGACGCCGATTTCTTAACATTGTTGAAGCAATAAAGCGGTCATCACGATCCGTTGTATATCTCATTCTACCAATTCCAGATCGACTACGAAAGGATCGAGTCTCCTCATATCGTTCACACACTCTTCGAACGGCTCCTCGTGTCATATGTAGTTGCCGAGCTACAGCTCTCTGTTTTAGTCCATTTTCGATTAAAGCGATTACTTAAGCGGCTTTTTCCGATGATGCATGCATTAAATTGAAACACTAATCAAACAATGAAACACAACTAATCAAAAAATAAAAGAACAATTTGAAAATTTGGATTACAAAGGTAGTAATTGTAATATTTGACAAGTTTGTTATTCTTATTGTCACCACAACATAAATACCTTTTATTTGTTTACCCGTTGGTACGCATATAAACGATAAGTACCCTGGGGCGCTATTCTGTACAATCGTCAGAATCGGTGAGTTACCGATAGCTATCGGTACACATTTGCATATAGTAAATATGTGTTAATTGTTGTTGTCATAGTTACCGGGCCCTATGACAGATATCGCAAATTTGTACCGACGACTCTCGGTATCTCTACCGTGAGGTTGACAAGGGCACGGTATATCGATTTTCGTCGGTACAAATTTGCGATATCTGCCATAGGACCAATCGGTAAGTATGACAACAACAATCAACACGACGCTCATTGGCAGTACGTACCGATAGCTGTCGGTAACTTGCCGATACCGACGATTGTACAGAATAGCGCCCCTGGATAAATTTATGCTCTTATTAAAGCATGTTAAATTGTCTTTGAAACAGCTCATATCTTTTACTTGCTCTGATAAATAGATTCTAAAAGATACAGTTAAATCCAAAAGTTCACAGTGGGCCGATTTCTATGCACGTAAGTTTATAACACACGCACTTTTTTTCCGTAAAAACATCTAAAAATATACAAGTATATATAAAAATATATTTACCTGCAACAGTTAGAGAAAAGAAAAACAATTACGAATCAATATATACGTATTATCAATATTTACGATATAATATATCAATTAATATCTAGAAAATTGTACTTAGAAATACTATATTTAAAATTATAGCCCATATATTGGCGATATATTCAACAAGTCTTCAGAAATCGAGAATTCAATATAATAAATAAGAAATTTGTCGCCAAACTGTAACACAAATTTTATAGAAAACGTTTAGTTCATAGAATTTTACTTAATATAACTTATCACAAGCGTTTTTAGTTATAAATAATAAATATATTTTATAAATTTTCGATTAAAAGTTAAACTCCTTAAATATAAACTGTCAATATTAGATAGCAGGTAATCCTTTTAAAAATCCATGGTAAATAAGATCAACTGTGTTCAACACAGTATAAAATTACTAGATAAATTACAAATAAAAAGTATTCTAATTCGTATTTACCAAAACATAATCACAATATATTTAACAGTAGGGCGAAAATGTTAGGGTATATAATTTGCCACGTGAACAAAAAAAAACATGAACTACACATTTGGGATTTATCCTTACGGCCCAACCATACAATACTATTTACACGCATCATTTTTTTGGCAAAAACATCCCAAAATACTCAAATAACTTCAAAAATATGTTTACCTGCATCAAGTAGACTCAATCACGTCGACCTCCACCCACTCTCAGTCAATTTCCCGAAATTTTCTCTCAAAAATCGCGTTTTTGAAACGATCGCGCCCTCAAAAAACCACCCCGTCGACCGCGGTTACGTCACCAGATTCGCAACCGTTACTGCTGACGCCTGGCTCCGGCGGCATCCAGCATCCGGATATCTGGAGCAGGCGCCCTCTGGATTCGTTCCCCCGCCGTAGTAATACCCCCACCCCTGATCGTTTTGGTAGAGAATGGAAGAGAATAATAGTGGGAGGGTGGAGGAGGTGTAGGGGAAAAAATGTCGAATATAATGAGCTTATACGGCGATACGTCCGCTGTGATAAAGGGTTGATGAGTACAAAGTAATGAAGCGGAAAAGTCGAGTTGATTTTTGCGCGATTAGACTAAGGAAGGGGTTTGATTTTTAGGAAAGTCAGCTCTATTGGCACGGTTGAGTTCAGTGAAAATATTTTTTTTTCTAGAATATGCCCTTTTTTGTTGCCGTCGCGTCGTAAGAAAATTAATTATGCAAAACTTTTATGATGCACATATGGTTACCAGATTTCTCTAGATGAAAAAGGGGACAAAACATAATTAATTTTCCTACGCATTTATCATAATACGGAATTTTTGGTTTTAATTACGTCTTATGATATTTTGCTAAAAAAGATATTATTATTATTAAAGATATTAGTTTTTGTCTATCTCCAATACAAAAGGGCGTTTCCCTTTAAAACCGTGTAATTTGATCCACCTTGTTACATGGGGATCTCCCAAATAAAATGCGTATTTTTAGAAAAAATAATTAAAATTTTATCATGCGTTTATTAATTTCATGCATTAATAATTTATATATCTAGTATATCACTGATTTTCAGAAATCAATAATTGCAATTATTATTAGTATCAACTATTACATTGACATCAATGGGTTAGTGGAAGTGGCGAGTGCGACCGCTTGTCGAACTCCAATTAGCAGAATTTCCGTTTTGATATCACTCACTTTGAGACCCTAGGATGGGAAAACTCGATAGTTCACTGTCGGTGGCATTAAGGTAACGGGTGACTTCTAGTCTAAGAGCCAGTGAAAGGCTACCTGTATGTATTTGAACAAACCTAGGGTTTTGTACAGTGATGCCCCTATACTTACTGTACATGACATGGGGATTAGTGACTCCCCATGTCAAACGTGGCGGACGCGGCGCTGCGGGCGCCAAGGTAAAAAAGTATCGATTTTTGGCAAATTTTAAATGTTTTTGACCACGTCTACCGGTTTGCAATTTGGAAATATATTATTATTATTATCGGAAAACAACAATGGCAGACCATTATCGCGCGTTTAACATTGCTGCAGACAGTTTTGAAAGTGGTGAAAAAAATAAAATTTTGAAACTAAGTAATTGACCAGATCTGCCATTGATATATTTTACTCTCGATTATACTTATTAGGGTCTTATAAACTTATGTTAATTACAGCAGATGTCTTTATTGAGTACACACTTCAGCAAACAACAAAATCTGAACTACTGTCCGATCGGATGTACGCATAGACTAATAGCTTTAATTACAATGATTGGTATTATGACACATTTGCAAAATTCTCATTGGAATATTTGAATGCTCAATGGAACTGGAAATAACGTATATTGACGTCACAAAAATGTATAAAGAGCTTGATGAATTGTTAGCCAAAATCTTAATCGATTTCCGTGCGTTCACAGGATGTGATTTTAATCCGGTTTTCTTTAATAAGGGGAAGAAAATACTTTTTACATTACTGAAAAAAGATGTTGAATTTCAACAAGCATTTGGAATGCTTGGTGAAGAAAATTTGACAGAGGACCAGTTACAACAGGTATTTAACAGCATTCAGAAATTTACTTGCCACCTTTATAATGCAGAAAAATCAATTGACGTTGATGATAGAATTAAGGTACTAACTTTTCGACAGCAATTATAAAGCTTCCGTCGTCAATTAAAACTTCAGCAAAAAAATACTTAATTTTGATGCAAGCTCAATACCACCATGTTAGAGTGAGCTGTACCAGCAACTTCTAAGAACACATTATATTTCAACAATTTGGAAAAATGCTCACAAAAAGCAAACCTACGACATTGGACCCGTTAGAGTATGGTTGTATTGAACAATACGAGAAATTTGTGTTTAAATGGTTCGAAGACGATCAATTTCCAACCCTTGTGAGTGACTTAATTACCCAAGTCTCTGATAATTTCATAGTAATCAATTCTTTATCGACTATGTTCGGATCAATTTACAAATTACTTTTATTTCATAATTTACGTTTTATTTTTACAGATTCCGATTCAATGGACGATGAAGACCAGTTACACCATGAAAAACATAATTCCGATGACGATCAATACAAATTCAAATTGATAAAAAAAACGTTTTTTTATCAATTTACGTTTTTAATTCATTTTTTTAAATTTTGTCTTAAATATATAAAAAGAAGAAATTCAAATAAATATTTGAATTATTATTTGCTGACTGCGTTATACCTAGATATTTGAAATTCTTTCAAAATATATTTACTTTTTTATCATCAGCCTTATATGTTTTAGTATGTTGTTGACAAAATTAAATATTAATTTTTATAAATACAGTGATAGTGTAAATCATATTGATGTGAAACAGGGAACGTCATAAACATACATCTCATCGGATAGCACTTTAGATTTTGTTGTCTGCTGAAGTGTGTACTCAATAAAGACATCTACCGTGATTAACATAAGTTTATAAGACCCTAATAAATCAAATATATCAATGGCAGATCTGGTCAATTACTTTCAAATTTTTTTTTTCACCATTTTCAAAACTGTCTGCAGCAATGTTAAATGCGCGATTATGGTCTGCCATTGTTGTTTTCCGATAATAATAATAATATATTTTCAAATTGCAAAACGGCAGACGTGGTCAAATACATTTAAAATTTACCAAAAATTGATTACTGTCTAACCTGAGCGCCTGCCGCGTCCGCCACGTTGGGCTTAGTGAGTCCCCATGTCATGTACAGTAAGTATAGGAGCTTCACTGTACAAAACCCTAGGTCTGGTCAAATACATGCAGGTAGCCTTTTACTGGCTCTTAGTCTATTCCGTTATACTTTTCCCGGCAACATCTTAAAGATTTACAAAGCTGTAATATCCGAAGAAACGATTGCGGGTCTTATACAAAGCCGGTTTCATGTAAAAAAATGGAAAAATCCCCTTTTTGCGGGTCCTTGCAGCTTCGGCAATTTTCGTTAAACGGGATGCCCATTCTCGCCGCATGTTTATCAACTGGCCAGTGTCCCGTATGCTTGGCGATATCCTTACGCGACTTAGTTATGAGCTCTCCCGATTTCTTAAAGTTATATTTGAGCCAAGTATTCCTGGCTGTCCTTTAGAGGCTTAAAGTTTTCCATCTACTGTTCGCCATGGACAGAAAACTTAGGTATACCGTGCTGGCAACTGTTATGTTTGGGTCGGCATTTACATGTGTGGAAGTAAATCGCATAGGGATCTTATTAAGTCGGAGTGAGAGAAATGCGACCAACAGACGCGACGCGCGACGGTGTGCTGTTGCGGCGTTGCCGATACGCCTTTCCCTATCAAGTAAAGTAAAATCACGATCGCAAACCGCTTATTTTTAAAAAAGACTTTTTTTTCAAGAGATAACTAGATAAAATCATTAGACATGTTTCTGAGCATCTGAAATGGAATTATAAGGATATCGTTAAGGTGTCATTTTTTTTATAGCGAGAAAACGTCAGTAATCGCGATAATTTAAAAACTCAACTTTTTAACACATAACAGGCCATAACTCAAGAAACACTTTAGATATTGAAACTTTTTTTTATTTTCAAGATCGGATATTTTACAATATGTTTACATAAGAAAAATTCGATAAGGTTGTTTTTTCCGTTCAAAAATTCTAAACAATCCATCCATTTACTTTTAGAGCATAGCAATTTTCAGCAATTGTGTAATTTTTTTATTGATAAAGATTTTCACATACTGTCTACAAAGAAAATACAGTAGAAATATTAATAAACTTCTTGAAAAAACTACAATCTATTATTTCTAATAGATTTCAAGTTATCGATTTTTGAATTCATAGTTCTAATAGCGCGACCACTATCGAACACCCACTCAATTCCACTTATTTTTACCAAAAATGCAAGTGTTTCTAGCTTGTACTTAAAAAAATTCAAGCTATAGGAAAAATTACAACGATTCGTTAATAAATAAACAAATTAAGTATCACCAGACGTAATTAAATAGTGAAGCTGAACGCATGACGTACACCATTCCCTAGAACTTTAAGTACTGACAAAGGTATTGATTGGGTCGACCGGTCAACTGCGACAAATCTGCTTTATCCCCTTCCACGTCTCTTAGCGATGTGCACAGTTTCTCGCTTTATTTCATACGTTTGGCAACGTGTTTACTGTCCTCTCTTTGTTCAGTACATTATAAACGCATTGTACTCTTCTTACATACGGAAATCTCGATCCAAGACTAACCTTTGCCAGCCCTTAGTATGTATTGTTTATATGATACTGAGGGGAGTAAAAACTTCTTCTGGTGCATCTAGCACAAGTCACGATCCTCACCTTGCCATGTCATGCCTCTTCGAGAAAACCCCCGATTGACATCAATTACTACTGTCAATAGCAGAAAATAATTTTTTTGTCTAATTTATTTGAAAATTGATTTTCTGTATAATTTTCAAATAAATAAAAAAAATAATTAGAGTTTCTACTTAAAACTATATCAATACTGTGGAAAAATAGCTCAATACCGTGAAATGAAAAACTTGAAACTTGATTCTGTTGAATTTGAGAAAAATGTTGGTTTTCTAATATTTGTAGAAGTCAGAGGAATGTTTAATTTGTGATAAAATACGAATAGATTGGAAGAAAAGTAGCAAAAAATACAAAATAAATTTGACGCTTATCAAATGTAAGGAAGTTATATCGATCTGGTCATCGAAACTGCGTGGTCTGGATTTTAACGTCTAAGACAGCGATGTAGACAGCTTAAATGAAAAGTCAAATATATTAAAAAGAGGTAAAAGTTAGGTTCATACATCTCTTGAATGCCATATTGCCGGATTTTGCTTTAAAATTTCAAGCTCCACAAGTAGGTGTTTACGAAAAATGGTGCATCTAGGGTTGGAACTTTATTTTTCGCAATTAGTTACTCACAACTGTAACATATTCTTAAACAACTGTCCAACAGAAATAAGCATTATTGAATGGCTTAGATATATTATCATCGTATATTATTTTATTTTTCGTACGAACCGGCAACACTGTATGACGCTTTTTATTTTATCTTTGTATGTCAACTGGTCGTGTATCTTTGTCGTATGCATTAAAGTACAGACCACGGAAATACAGTGGGATATACACACAATACAAGGATGTAATCATTTTAATATATTTTAATAAAGACAAAGAGGGCAATTTTCATTATTGAGTAGAAGAAATAATAACGCACGAAAAAATTCATCTTCATAGACAGCCAAGTCATCCGGTTCCACAGAGGTCCATTTTAGACTAGTGTGGGACTTTGTTCATGTTCTAAAAATATATGAGGGCAGCAATGTTATGTTAGCCTGAGGTAGCACGAGGATCACAAGGATAATGAAAAGGCAGATGAAATTACCAAACAAGGTCCATCAGTGCTACTAATAGAACCAGAACTTTTATCTGGCGCCGCAAAGGCAGTTACAAGAACAGCCACTAAACATTGAGGGGTTAACAAATCTCTAGAAAGGCGGAGACATTCACCAGGGCAGAGAGAGGCGAAAAAAGTTTTTAGCAGCCTAACCTATCCTAACAGTCGCTAAAATTTACGGGACCTGATAAGCAAATACAGAAAGACATTCAAAGCTGTAGTGGGTATAATAACATTGTCAGATTATATTTGGGGGTTGGAACCTTTGGTGTTGTAACGTTTTTAGTTCGTTACATGTCTTTTTTACATATGATATATGATGTCTGGCCTATCATCACCGGATTCCCTCTCGTTCAAGCCGGATAGCTTATTTGACGCGCAATTTTTACGTTCCCAGCTATAAGCCTATTCAGTAGCTACGGCTGTAAGGATTTATGGTATCGCTCTGTGGGAGCGCGCGCTGTCAACATCGCTTCTGTCAATTCTCTGTGATCTAACTTCACTTTTGGTTGGACCGTTCGGCCTCTTAGACGCCATTAGTCCCAGTGTTGAGAAATGGTGGTCATTTAAATCTGGCTGTATTATCTGAATCAGCTGCCATTTCGAAGCTACAGGGTAGAGTTACGGATGTCCCAACTTGTATTTGTATTTGGCTGGCACGTTGGCGCCCCTTTGCTTTTGTCCTCCAGAATGTCATTTGGAAGAAAGGACAGATTGTTTATTATTTATTGAGCCCTCGGGAGTATTTTGAGGGTCTTACGGACGGACTATTTACAAGGTACAGGCATTATCCAAGGTCCTAGTATTCCCTTGTGCCACTGTCTTATGGACGGATGTCCCATGGACAAGTGTCCCATGTAGGATTGATTTGTCTTCACATAGAGTGCCCCAGCGTGGGTGTGGCTTGAGTCCCGTGCTGCTTCACCCCCATTTCTAAGCCTGGATCGCCGACAGACAGTGCAGAGATGCAAGACCTCCTCGCGCTGCTACTGGTTGAAGCAGGGTTGCATTAAAGAACAGCTAAGTGTAATTTTAAGTTCTAGTATCGCATTTAACACCTAAAATGTTTTAGTCTTAAACAGTAACGTACATTTAAACTATAGCGTACAGACTATATTTAGTGGTTAGATTATTAAGAATATTTATGTCAATGCAGTAGTAAAAGTGTGATTTAGATTTTAGATTTCATAATATCACGCATTGTAATGGTATTACTTTCTATAGACATCATTATTACGCTATACTAATAGATGAATGACGAGATAGATTCTAGAATCTACAGGTTGCAACACATCTGATTGAACACCGTATAAATTTAACAATTTAAATAAAGTAATGCTACTTTTCTTATATTTTCTCTAATGTTACACGCATTGTATTTTCCTTATAGTCTTTACATAGAAGTATTTAATATTATTTACATATATAGTTTTATTCAACAGGTAACCACTATAATAATTATTAAAATTGTACAATGCTATTCACCATCAGAATTCGTCACGAATAAATATAGTCATTAGTTTTAAGTATTATACAATTGTGTTTTCTTTCTCTGTACATGCCTGGCGCCCAATATCTAGATATCTTTTGTTTATTATTATTGATTAATTTTCTCTCTAGTGAAATACCTTATCCACGACTGCTCTCCGATGAAAAGCTGCCGTTCGCAGTGGTAGTTGTTTTAAAAAACGCTACAGTGTTACACAGCAAAATAAAACACTAAATCACCACAATACACCAAAACACTTTTACTTTTACACTGGACGCGCGTTTCGCTAACCATGTTAGCATCATCAGCAGATGATTAAAAACTGAAACTAAGTATTTACCTAAAAAACTGAAACTGAGTATTTAATCATCTGCTGATGGTTATTGGCATGGTTAGCAAAACGCGCGTCCAATGTAAAAGTAAAAGTGTTTTGGTGTATTGTGGTGATTTAGTGTTTTATTTTTATTTAACATTGTCAGCTTACCAGGCATATAAAGCTGAGGGATTGGCGGGTGAGCACCTGTGCAAATTTTGTCAATCTGAATAAGAAACGGCAAAACAGATTTTATGTCACAACACCCTGGCAAAAGTGCCGTGTATTAGGCAATGATAAGCTATTGACAAAGTGGAGGGTTAACTGGACTCCACTAAGTGGATCAAAACCGTTCTGCTTTTCATGTGGAAACCGGTGGAAACCAACTTAAAGGGAAACTCAAGAACCTGGAAGACTCCATCCATAACCTGGAATGAGAATCCCCCAACAGTCGAAGGTACTCGAAGAAATTTTTCAGAATTTACGACAGAGAAAAATCAAAGATTTTCCTTAATTTAGGTAAGAACGATCTTCGGATGGTCACTGGGTTTTTAACAGGACGCTGCCTCCTCAACAAACACCTCAGTAGAGTGAAGCTAAGAAACAATGACAAATGCAGATTCTGTATGAAAAAAATGGAGAAACACCAGGACACCTCATCTCTGAGTGCATCGCAACGACAAACATTCGTACTGTAAAGTTTGGTACGTCTTATATTGGAGATGGAGAATTAACCTCTGTAAAATCGTATCAGATACAGGCTTTTGTCAAAGCCCTCAGAATGTATGATGAGTTATAACTCAAGAAAGCGGGACACAACAGATCTGTAAGGTCGCGGTGATTATAACCCACCTCCCATACATTCTACAAGAGAAGAGTGCAATCTCAAAGTTATTAAACTTTTTGGAAAGAATAAAACTGGATAATGTCACCTGCAGATCAGAAGAGAACCACAATCGATCTGAAAAGTTCGCAGTTGCCAGCCCAATAACCAGCTCAAAAATATATCTACTCGTAATCAATCTACAATAAATAAATGTTTGTTAGTCTTTCTTCAAATCATATATATTTTTTTAATATTTTATTATTTATTATGTCAGAGAGTCAGAAAGTAACCCAAAGAGAAATGAATATAAATTCTAATAATTCAAGAATATTATTATGTCACGAAATTTGCTACCGATACAAATGAAAATTTCTCGAAAACGAATAACGCAAAGAGAACATCGCACAGTAGAAAGTTTTAATTACTTCGGTTCGTAATTTCCATCTAAATCGTCAGTTTTCCAGCGACTATGGACCCCGTCGACATCTGCGTTCAAAAATCTAACATTTCTCGTCCAAAATTAAATCGCTTAAAAATAGAATCGGCGATTCCTTCCTGCTTTATTCCCAGACGCTCCGCTCCGATTTTATCAATTCGGAATACTTTTTATTTTTGTTTTGATTGTTGTGGTCGGTTGATTCAGTTTCGGGTTATTGTCGTCGTTAGTTCAGGAAGAAAACTGTTTTATTCCATGTGCAAAAAAATGTGCTAGAACTTCCGCAAAATGAAAATTATTCGGCTAGTTTGGCTTTGTGTTGTTATTATAAACGGCCTGTATTGCTTCAATAATAATAATAAAGAAAGGGAGAATCTGAATATTGGTAAGTTTGTTTTGTCAAAATATGACAGTTAAATGTGACCAAAAACTACTTAGAGCCAGTTATATATTATATTGAAAATTTAGCATCTGAACTTGAATATAAAGCTCGTCAACACATGTTTATGTTTTTATGCCTTGCTATTCTTAACTCATAATAAATGTACTGAATTATTTGATTAATTACATGATAAGTAAATAAGGATAATTCTTCTGTTAAAACATAAATAATTTAATTTGTGAACTTAAATGATTTCTTGAAATTCATATACTTTTACAACTTTATGTTCACAAAAACGTTTAATATGAAGTTTGGACAATCAATAATATTTCAAATTGTTATCAATCAATAATACTTATTCAGGAAGTTCCAATATTCCGTGAACAAACAACTACTATACAGTATGTCCCCGGATTGTCTGGACAAGAAGAAAAACTTTTTTATTATTGACATTTTTAGAGAAATGAATTCTTTATGAAAAAAATTTTGCTTGCTCTAAAATGATTAATCCCGTTTATACTTTTCCAAATATAATAATAGTGGTTTCAATTAGGTACACTTTATACTTTTTAGTTTGGATATTTTGAATTGAGATATTATTAAAAATACGATTTAGGCATCTTTTAACCGGTCAGCATAAGACAAGAAAAATATTAGACCATCAAAACTATTTTTCCAAAACTCCTTGTTAAAAATTAGTGTTTTTAACATAGCCATAGTATTAAAGGTTGAAATTTAAAATACGATTTTTTTTAAAAGTGAAAATGTCAAAAGTTGACATATGATATGACATTCTAAACAGAGTGTCATTTTCTATCAAATAGAGTAAAAAAAAATAGCGAGGGTGCCAATTAAAAATCAAAAGTTGGATATATATTTCCGGTGAAACAGGAAGTGAACAAAAACAATTGAATACGTCAATGAATTTTAAATTGATGTCATATACTAACTTACAAATCTCGTTTTTTTATTTGAAAATGTAAAAAAGTTATAAGGATGGGCCACTTTCGAGACGCCCCCGGTATATTTACTACTTTTTGAAAAAACTTAGTTATTTTACCATTTTCCAATTATTTAAATCTATTAATAATATTCCTATCAAATATGGATTTATTGCAAAAAATTTACTAGTTATTTTATTTAAAATTAAAAAGTGCAAATTTAAAAAAAAAACATTCTCTGTCTGCGGGAAAAATCTATACTTTTTTATGAGTTATACATAAAATAAATCAAATATTTCCGCTATTTTGCATTTTTATTGTTTCGGCAACATCAACTGACGTGATTATTTAACAACAAATACTAAAAAAATTATTTTGTATTCTGATTTTTTCTTTACAAAAAAATACGCCGTTATTTTTTAATTAAAATGTATCATACTATTTTAATATAAATTATAGTTATTTTTTATTTATTTTCAGCTATTTTTATCAACGACAATGAATACACCGACTTGACAACAAATGCCATCAAGAACGCCGTCAACGTCATCAAAGTAAAAACTAAGTACAACGTGATAGATCATGTGATACGGTTGAAGGAAGAAAATGGGTATGAAGCTGGACAAATTTGTAAGTTGACATTTAATATTATAAATTAAACAAACATACACATTCGAAGTACATTTTCTTCAGTCTCTAGAGTTTGAATATTCGCTTGGGACACTTTGGAATTTTTAAAACCTGTTATACCACTTGGATTTCCATTCAAAAAATAGGCATATACAGGGAGTTGGAAAAGTGGAAATGACTACAACATTTGATTTTTAAATGGTACCCTCTATATTTCTTTAACTTATTCGATAGAAAATGGCATTCCAAAAAGACCATTCAATTTCCTACAAGAATGTGTAATGATTTTTACAATACGCTGATTTATTAGAACGTAATAAAATTAACCCTCCGGCAGGCGCGTACTTTAGAATCATGAGACCGGGCGCGTAGGGTATTCCATGCCGCACTTATGTTTTTAAAGTATTCTGTAATTTAAAATATTTTATTGTAATGTAATTTAAAATATTTTATTGTTAAATTTAGCATGATAAACAATAACAATCAACATTTTTAATACATATTAACTTTATTAACGCATAAAAAAACTTAAACGTATTATAAAAAAAGGAACCGAACGAAACATTTTTAGTATTCAAAATATAACTTTGCCGACTCACGAAAACTAAATCATACTGAACATATTATAATAAAATAAACCAAACGGAACTTTTTAAATATTCAAAAAAAAATTAACCACTGGAAGAAGATAAAACTATCATCTAAATGCCTAAATCTTCTTCTATAGGTAGATATCTACCGGTAATACAACTGACTAGTCTACCACTATAGTTTCTGCGAATAAATTTGTTGCATTAGTTGAAAAAACTACACGGAAAAAAATCATTTCTATATTCAAGAACAATCATACACTTAAAATTTTACACTTTCTTTTAGGATAGTATTCTTTCCATGAGTACAACAAATATTTGGAACTATTTTACTTTTACACTTGCTTTTTAAATATAGTTATAGTCACTTTAAGTAATTTTGAATCTTAAAAAAAGAATAAAATGACTTATATTTAAGAAAAACTTATATTACTATCAAGTGAATAAATCCTTTAGCAACGAAGAAACTATTATTAAATGAAGTATAAATGCTTTTATATAATAATAAGTAGTATTCTTAACTTTTTTAAAACTTTTACTTGAAATCGGTGTATTAAGACTTTAAATAAGTATATTATTCTCGGCGCGAGAATATCACCCCATTTCCAAGAGTTACTATTCTTATATTAAGTGACCATCCCCAACAGCAACAACGCAACAGTGCATTCCTGATTCCTATCTTCATTTGGTTTCTGTTTCTCCTCTGCGACACGAGACGCGCCGGGTACTTTATATAAAGTTTTTTTGTTATCGTTTGTGCTTGTGATATGTTAAAATGGGGACCTTCTTCAGGCATGGGAGATGACGGATTTCATTCCTAAATTTCAAGGTAATTTTAGCAATAATCCTACATTATTTGATGACATTGGTTTGAGGTTAGGGGGACTCCATTTTAATATGCATTATTTCTTATACATTGGTGGTAAACTAGGTATGTACGCGTTTGGAATGATTCAATTATGTTTTAACAATTTTTATTATCGTTTCTCGTTTTCAATTAGCGATGCCGCTGTTCAATATCTACCTATATTGGGAAATTACACAGTTTTATTATATTTTCTTATTACGAAAAGCAAATAATTTGGTAGGTGATGTTTGGCTAATCTAATTTAAAAAGTATTAACCATATTCGGGGTTATTCTGGTGATATTTCAATATTCCATACCTATTGGAAATGGAAATTAAAATAAATTGTACTGAAGCTGTGGTTGGTTCCTTGTGAAACATCGTTGAAATATTAGTATTTTAATAAAGCACGCTTTTAGATGTTTCAAAAAACTTTTAATAAGAGTAACTTTAACTCAACATATATGTTTCGGCTTGTTAGGCCTTTTTCAAGAGTTTTTTAAGAACTTTTTTTTTAAGTTCTAAAATTTTTAGCATGTCCCAAATCTATTATATTCATGTATGTTACCGGGCAAACCCGATTTTAGGATAAACTAGTTTTTCTTAGGACGAATATTAACCGGGATCGAAAAACTATATAGTTCTCACAAAATTCGGTAACGTGTTCCCTATGCTTTCGGAGGTTCGGGTTCGATCTTGTTAGAAACTTTTTTTTTGGTAAAATCTTTCCTTAATTTCCATTTACAATAGGTGTGGAATTTTGAAATATCACCAGAATAACCCCGAATATGGTTAATACATTTTAAATTAGATTAGCCAAACATCACCTACCAAATTATATGCTTTTCGTAATAAGAAAATACAATAAAACTGTGTAATTTCCCAATATAGGTAGATATTGGACAGCGGCATCGCTAATTAAAAACGAGAGACAGTAATAAAAATTCTTAAAACATAATTGAATCATTCCAAATGCGTACATACCTATATAGTTTACCACCAGTGTATAAGAAATAATGCATATTAAAATGGAGTCCCTCTAACCTCCAACCAATGCCATCAAATAATGTAGGATTATTGCTAAATTTACCTTGAAATTTTGGGATCAAATCGTCATCTCCCATGCCTGAAGAAGGTCCTCCATTTTCACATATCACAAGCACAAACGATAACAAAAAAACTTTATAATTTTATAAACTACCTAGTCGGCGCGTCTAGTAACTAACTATAAGTAGTAACTAAGTATAAGTAGTACTAGAAACAAGATTTTATCTCGAATTGTCTGGAGTGTAGTTATAATCTTAATTTCAATACTAGGTAAATCTTTAATAAAAGATAAATTTTCTTAACTTCTAAGGATAAGGTTTTCTTGAAAAGAAGTATAACTAGATTTGCGGAATGGGGAAACTAGCATATCGTTGGTTCAAGATTAATAATCTTTAAGCCAGTTTAGCTTTTTTTCCGTGTAGTAGTTTTATGTGTTTCACATACATGGCAGGGATCAACTCGCTTGTTATTGTCCCTATAACTGGTACCTTTACCTCTGGAGCATATTTAGCGAGGAAAACTTGGAAATCTCTGGGAAGAGTTTGAATACTGGCTCGTTCCGTCATTACTACAGGTTATAAACACATATTTAACAGATTATTACAAACGCAATCGAAATAATTAACAATTTAAAATTCCACCAAATAAAACAAGATAATTAAATAATATTGTAACTATTTTACTTACATAACCGGGCGCGTAGTACCGGGCACTGAGTACCGCAAGTTCTGTAATTGCCAGGTTTACGACAGAATTGCAACTGAACCAGAATCGCTGGATACGCAACTATTACGACCCAGGGTGTCAAATATCCCTAAATAAGAATAATTAATAACCACCACCCTACGTCAAATGGATGCGTTGTTTTAAATAATTAGTAAAATTGCGGTACAAAATTCCGGAAGGCGCCCGCTCGAGGGTTAAAAAGTGTTATCCGTGTTACTTAAATTGGAAATAAAAAATCACGATGAGAACAGGAAGTGAGCGAAACTAATAGAATACCTCAATACATCCCAATTTATGTCATAGACTGACACACCAAATCTCGGTTTTTTATCTGAAAAAATAAAAAAGTTATAGGGCAGAGCCATTTTAGAAAAACACCCGGTATACCAAGTTAAGTGTTGCCAAAATAGCAGAAGAATTAATAATGGCTAGTAATTTTTGAGGAAAGCTTATCAATATATGCTCAGATTTGGCGGCATTTAAGAAGCTTGTGTGCCTAAAAGTATCATCGAGACTCATCTGGGAATGAATGGATGAACTTGGAACTCGGGCAGAAAGGAACAGAATTAAATTATTCTGGGTGCCTAGCCAAAAGGAAATCCAAAACAATGAAAAAGATAACTTAGCAAGGCAAGCATCATCGAAATTCTACCTTAGTCCAGAGCCAGTGTTGGAAATACCTAAATGTATTACCCGTGGTACAGTAAGACAAGGAGATAGGCCCGCATCCAATGGCATGACATATGGCTGGCCACTGATACCTGAACAAGCTCAACCTGTTCAATACGTATTTACTGCACGATCTGCGATATCGATACTTAAACAACAAAGCACGCATAATAACCGTAATAAGCGCCAATTTCCATTTTCGAAAGCAAGGCTAGATTCGGAGGAACTATACTCCTATCTTATCAAGGATCTGCACAAGCTGGGTATAGGGACAGGAGACTGGGTGCAGAGATAGAAAGGGAATAACCACAATAAGCCTACAGGTTGCACTGTTTTCGGTATTGGAGAGTCCCTTAATATTAAGGACAATATCGCTATTTTTAAGTTCGCCATAATGGTTAAATGATTAATCATCGTATTTTACGAATCTTTTAATCAACAAGTTCTTCCAGTTCAAACTATCGCGGGCAAGCTTTAAATATATACATGAAAGTTTGTATATAATGTTTTCCCGGTTATTTATAATCAACTGAATGTATAATGCACTACAATTATAATTATAGGACTAAAATTATAGTGTAAAATGGAGTTATTATAAATTATTCCTTGCTATTATCTGCCAACTTCGTGTAACTGGACAAATGTTAGTAAATAGGAACACCTGTAGTAGATATTTTACTATGAAATAAAGAAAAACACGAAACATATTATGCGTATTTTGCCAAATATTTGTCATAGTAAAATGTGTTACTATTAATCGTGCATAATTTGAATGAACTACATCATAATTAAGAGAAACAAAATATATTTAATGTAATGGAGCATAGAAAAATAGCTCTGTATACTACTGACAGCGAGGTCTTGGCAATTATAACGTATGTTTTTGCCAATCAAAAACACTAACTTTTTCCTTATATTGGGGTGGTCCAACCTACTATGTTCATTTTCTAATTTTTATTACTTTCTCTCTAGTTTTCTCTCTTTTTTTCTTCTTTTTTTTTTGCTGCTGTTTTTCTGATATTTCTTTTTATAAAACATGCCCAAAAATGTCTCAGATGAAGTACATATGAGATATTAATTGATTACCGCCTGAAGTCCGGTATTTAACCGGATATTAAAAAA